GCTGTCCGGGTGGAGCGCGCTGCGGGGGGTGTGGTAGTAGGAATGAGGGGATAGACCCAGGATCTGAGGCATGGCAAAACCCATGTGGTCCGCTTCATACTCATCCAGGGGCTCCGTCTTGATGGAAGGAGCTGTGAGGAAGTAGAAAGCATTGTATTTGATATTCAAGATTCAAGGCTTTTATTGGCATTTGTACATAGCTACGGTGTAGATATATGTCAATGAAAATCTTAGGTCACAGACTCCTCCAACGGTGCAACATCATAAAACAGACACAATAGTTAAAATAGTAATACAAATAAAATAGAATAGAAATAGAAATGATATATTGATATTTGGGTTATTGGAAAAAGCAACAGAGGGAATGTGGTTGTATTGTAATTGTAACTAACAGCATAAATCTTTTAATTAACCCTAACCCAACCCTGGTATTCCCTACTAAGCACGCCACAAAGAGGCTGAGCAGCATTCTTACATGCCAGTGGTGTGTAAGCGAAGTGCTGAGGCTGACTGCGCTTCCTCTTGCCATTGATGACGTAGAAGTTGACTTTGACAGGATGGCAGACAGAGGAGTCCTGGTAGGACGGCACCTCCACAAAAAGCATACTCTGCAAGACAAGACAATGCTCTGTTACAGCCTGAAACTGACCTTTAAGTTTGAATCAAGCATGACAACTGACAACCGGTGTGTTTTACAGGTATTATGCAATTATTCAACATATCACGTTTCTAATACATACGGGCTGGCTCTTGTCTTTGTCTACTGTCGCTTCCATTTCCCAGATTTGCTGTCCGTCTAGAAAGAAGAGAAGAGAGAAAAGAGTATATGTAAGGTTGAATGTTTCAAGATGTACTAGATGGTCATATGTGTCACTTAAGCATGTACCCATCCGTTTTTAAAAAGGTATACATTGTTAAAATTGTTCTTTAGAATAGCATGCTCAAGGAGATGTTATTAATGAGAACACTTGTACAATCTTGAGAACAGTTCGTCCATTCACAGCGATAAGGTGTAATATGTTTTTCATCACCTATGGTAGGCTCACGTAAGTAGATACGCAAGTATACAGCGATATGATGTAATATATTGTTTCGCAGGCGGTAGGATTATGTAATTTTCTTGTCATCAAGTGGTTGTTTTTTTGCAAACATTAAGCCATTGTATCATCCGTGCCAGGATGTGTGATGGTGGAAGTCCTGTTTGATAAGGAATACAGGTTGATATGCTCCTATTTGATATAGAATATCAAATATACACACGCAGAATGAGTGTGTGAGAGTGTGTGTGTGTGTGTGTGTGTGTGTGTGTGTGTGTGTGTGTGTGTGTGTGTGTGAGAGACTGGGCTCTGGTTTCAGACAGAGGGTGAAGAGAGGTGCTGCAGCACACAAAGCATGTGACCTGTCACAGTAGAGACACTAAATACAGAAATGAACCTGAAAGTGAGCACAATAGGGCCCCTTTAATGACACCATTAAGTACATGAAAAGGTGGAGATGCTCTGCAGGTGTAGCCAAAACACAACTTCATTCACACCCGTGTGCTCTCCACTGCAGCGCTGACAGAAACGTAACACTAGCAGGGACGTGATGAGAAGTGCAGGCTTTGCTCTGCTTCTGCTCTTTAACGATTATAGTTAATGTATTGTTACAGTAAACCTCTTCAGATGACATTAGAGCTGCCATTTAGGTAGAAAAGTAGAAAGGCTAATGTCCCGTTAAATATAAACTCCATATGCCCTGACACATGACATGTGCTGCAGGGAGTTCTGTCTGAATGTTAGCGTAGGTGGGAAGCCCTGTGTCAAATTAAAAACACATGGCGTATGTGAGTCAGCAGGAGAAAGGGGGGATTCCACACATCTTGCCAACGTTTTTTCCTAAACTTTATTTTTTATGATCAACTCTCTCCACGTCTTACAAAGTGTGATGACTCTTGCTTTCTTGGCTTTTGTGTTTGTTTTGTTGAAAGTCTACTCTCAGGGATACCCCGACTCTGGTTTTCCCTGGAGGTGGAAAGGAGAGAAAGGCCGAGCAGTCTCGATTTGGCGGAGGAAGCTTTCCTTCTCTCCGTAAAAAAACCCGATCACATCAGCCAGAGGAGCTCCGGCCAGAGGCAGCTGTCTCTCATCCAGAGGGATTTCACAGCTGCACTGCTCCAGAGCTTTGTGTCACACAGAAACCCTCCAAAACAATGCTCGTAAGATCTATTTTTCCGTCTCTGTCGTACTATCCATTACTGTGGAGTGTCGTAACGCAGGGCCAGGGAACCCCGGAGAAAAGAGGCTGGGGTAGCCTGTGGAGCGCCTGCTTTAACCCCTGTGTTTCCTCCCTTTCTACAAAGCATAAAGTATAAATGATCCCCCAAATCTATGTTACACCTTTTAAGGCAACTTTATTCTTACTTATAACCACAAGTTTAACCCTAACCCTTTTTTAAATCAATAGATTTCATGTATGCTAAATCGAAACCTAATTTCTGAGTTAGAAAAGGAAGAAATGTTGGTTGATTTTACAAAATTGACCCCAGTAGACAACAGATGCTATACATTTGAATAATACCCAAAACCTATTGAGAATGATCTTATTTCTTTTCTAATGGAAACATTTAGTATAAAAGTATAAAAACATGACTTTTTTTTGGCACTAACATAAATTGAAACTTTATACCGATATAAAAACATTGGGGAACGTGTCATTTTAACCAAGGACAACAGGAAGAAACTAAGCTCTCAGACAGCAGTGGAGTCAGTGAGTCATTTAAGTATGTTAACTGTCCTTCCACAGAACCAAATATTAGTTAAAAGGAAATGGATTTCAATGCCATTTATAAAAATAAATCATTTCAGTGTCAACCAGGATTGCCATACGATACGTCATGTGACACATAACTATTAATCACACGACAAAAGGCCCCATCTGCGCAGAGATAAGACATCACGGCACTCAGGGAGGAAGAAGAATTGCAAAAGGAAGCGAGGCAGCCGTGTTATCATTTCAATCATGCAAAAAGCTCATATGTCTCCATTCTATACAATGATACTGGTTAAAGGTGAACGCAGAGTGACAATGAGTCATTGTTATCACTTACTGTTGTGGTGTTACTGTGACAATGCATTGTGTAATAGCAGAACTAACAGATGCATAGACCGTAAAGGTTTTATAGATTCAGTCATAGATTTCCCGGCAACGTATGTCTTTATTGTTACCAAAAGAACAATTAAAATCCGTTATTTGAGAATGGGATATGACTCTCTCCCGTGGGAAAATGCGATGATGGGATTTGATGGCACTCACCCTGGGTTTTCTCCAAGAAGATGACCTTGGAATCGGAGCTGAAGTTCTGCCCGGTCAGGATCATCTGCTGGCCTCCGAGCACGGAGCAGCTGTCCAGGTCCTGTTTCTCCACCATGGGAAGCTCATGAGCCGAGCGCTGGGCTGCAGGGACACAGAGGGGGAGGGGTGGGGGTTACATTCACTGACGATCTGCTGTCACACACACTCTCATAAAGAGAACATCAAGCATTAAACTGCATACAGAAATGAATTAATTTCATATTCTGTTCTTGTACATATCCCATATCCTATTGACATGTATATAGACTTTTTGCACTACTTTTTATTTTGTATTTTTGTATTTTATTATATATGTTGCATTGTTGGAGGAGCTCAGGTCAGAAGAATGTCATTGCTACACTGTAGCTTTGTGAATATGACAATAAAACCTTTTAATCTCCAATCTAGAATTAGACAATTGGCAGACAATAATTGGCAACAATTTGATTTCATTTATTGTTTCAGACACGTTTTTAAAGCAAAAATAGTGAAAAAAGATGCAGAAAATCATCAGTTCAATTCATCAAATGGGAGAATTGCTGCTATTCTCTACTTAACCACAGTAAAGTAATGAATTGACAGAAGAATAATTGGAAACTATTTGATTTTATTCATTGTTTCAGCCATTTTTTATATAAAAATAGTGAAAAACCCTCCAATGTGAGTATATCATTAAAAACAGAATATATTTTGGCGCTTTGACTTTTCTGAGACAGAACTATCAATCGATTACTGTACATCTTTAAAAGCAGTCTAAAGATGAATCGCCCTAAACTACCGTGAAAAAAACACCTCTTTTGAAAGCTTGTATTGATGTAACAGGAGACAAATAAAGGTTTTAACAAGAAGTGTCATTTAGTTTTACAATAAAAAGCTGCTGCTCAGTCATTCAAAGATCACAGCAATCACTTTCTGTTTTAGTCAGCAGCAATGTAAATCTATCCAATCACAATTTAGGAGAGGTTACACTGGAGGCCGCTTTGGTTTACATACAGTAAAGTGCTGCACAGCTAAATAACAGGAACAACTGATGCAATCAATTCGGCAACAAATACTTCCTACTGTAGTGAAGATTAAAATGCTGAAAGATATTAAATGAAGCTCAGCGCAAGTTCAACCAGGAAGACCGTCTTTACTCTTCATGTATTTCTATCTCCATGTTTCTACTCTCTCTCCTCCCAATAAGTGACCGGGGGCGTCACTCTTCAGCTTAACCAATCACTTCGCTCTATTCCCAAGAGCCTATCATAACGCTCCGTCAAATCTTTTTAAATCTGCGATTTCCCCTCTGACAGCTGTCATTTCAGGTGACTCTACGCAACCCTCCTCCACCCCTTTTCACCTCCTGTCCCTCTGAACCCAGGTTCAAGCTAAACCACTCCTCTTCAGACCGACCCAACTATCCATTCACCACCACCAGTGTCTAGACCCCGGGGGGTTTTCATCGGATCGGTTCTACCCTCCCGAATGATACTCCTGCACAACGGGGCCTAATCGCCAAAATTACCATTGCATTCATTTGTGCATCTGCGCAATAAATATGTATTATTACATCAAAAACCGTCTCTCCTGATTGAAGTAAAGTCGTGCTATGCAGTTACATTTTGTACATTCTCAAGGGAAGTGTCTGAAGATGCCAAATATGTATGATTCTTTGTGAAATGTGCATAAAACGATGCACACAACTATTTATTTTCTATTTCAAGGAACGAGTATGTTAAGGGGTTAATGTCAGTGTTGCTCTCTCATGTCATTATCACCCATTAGTTCAGCTGAAACTCCACACTCACTGAGGCGAGCTGAGGTGTCGACAAACAACCCTGTGACCTTTGAACGGGATTGTTTGGCCTTACTGCACCACGAGCGGACACAACACAGACTCCCTCATCAGGCCTGACAGATGTGTCGCTGTATAAACTCTACACGTGAGTGTTCATCTCAACAGGTTATAACCATCGTTCTGTCCTTTTTCTGTGATCGGGAAACAGATGGGAGACGCCAATACTAAAATGATATCATATGCGTCATGATCTTTTACAATGACAGGAGCTATCTCGCCTTGACTAGGGTGTTAGTCAAGGCGAGATAAAAGGACCTTCTTGTTTGAGATTTGATTACACCAGGTGCTTTAATAACACTGTGTACACACACGCACTGATGTACCCAAACACACACTTTACTACAGCGCACACAGAAACATGCAGCGCCCACCAATTGGATAGAAGCCATGATTTCATAAAGACATCTCTGTGTGCAGGACTCATTTGAATTCAGGTTCCTTTTTTTATGATGTTTATAAAGTTTTGTTAACTGATAAAAACATCAGCAGGAAGCATACATAGGGAATCCATAAAGCCTTCACTGTATTCAACTATTTGATTAAAGATGAGGTTAAAAAAGCATTTATTTAAAGTGTTTAATGTGACGCTGCTTACAGCACTCGATGGGATGTGAGGCCACTTGGAGAGAGACGTGCTGTCCTCCGGGTTGAGGTATGTGCACACGAAACACAAGACGAACACGCGTGTTTTTCCGACCGACGTCCGTCTCGCCCTTCCTCAGCTCGATGTCGGCGTTCCTGAGCTTCAGGATCCCTGCACAGTCGATTCTGCAAGAAAGGCATATATTTGTAAGAAAAACAGACAAAGAAAAAGGTATATTAAAAAGGAGTGGGAAATATTCAGAAATCAAATGATTGTATTCTCACATTGCTTTCATGTTGTTCTTTGGCTCCAGTGGGATCTCAAGGACTTTGGTGCCGTGGATAACCTTCTCATAACTGGTGGTGGTAACCGTCTTCCCAGTGATGCGGTGCACTTGATAAAAGGCGTGCGGCTTGAGGATGCGCTCATCTGCTGTACCAATGAAGATCTGCAGGCCAAGTGGCTCCTTGCCTCTGTAGCCATGTAACTGCAGACATTAAAAACAATCATAAATCACTAAAAAGCTTCCGCTACAAGGCAATGAAACAGAGATACAGTACGAAGGAAATGTTTGAGTTGCTTTAAACTGGCTGTGATCCAACTCTTGCTTTCCACATGTTGTTTCCCCAGAGGTGGCTAATCAGTGTCAGACCCACGTGGAAAAGCACGAGTCTCCTTTCTGCAGCCTTGAAGAGGAACCAGCAGAGAGCCACTTCCTATATCCTTGTGATCTAGTACTTTCTGACACTGTCATGATCATTCAACCTGAAAGACACATTTAGTATTAAAATAATCAGATAGGTGAAGCTGTGAGCTGGTGACAGATATAGAGCCAGATAGGAGGCGAGAGAGATGTTTGACTTTTAACCTGAAAGTGCAGGAAACCTGCAAAAACCACAAAGCATCAGCTTGCATCTAAATGCTGGTTTTTGTGCAAACAGTGTAGTAACCTTTATCACTGAATATACCAGTGTGAGGTGAGGTGTATTCTAAATATAGAAAAGGTTGCTGCAGTAAGCACCGTTTATTTAAAATCCATTTCCAAATTTAAGTCTACTTCATTTGCCATTTTATTCTATTAATCCCATTAAGACTGCTTGTTTTAAAAGCAGCACAATTGTACCTTAAATAAGAGATTTTAAATATTCTAAACGCTTGATCTTGTGCTCTGTCAAATTACGTACCACGTTATGGTACTAAGTTGATATTTGCTGTAACAAGCTCATATTTTATAGAAATAAAAGTGTCTGGTCTTCTCTCTGATGTATTTCGGCTTCTCTACCTCAAATGTCTTATTTACAGAGGTTCCTGATTGACAGAAAGCTCTACTTGTTGCTAAAGTACAGTAACCGCAAACTGCAGCTAACAGAAGCCGCTATCGGCTAGTTAGCTCAGTTAGCCCAGTTAGCCGTTATGCTAAGAATGGAAGAGCACCAGGCGAGTGTTGGTGTTTATTAATCTTTACATCGCTAGGACAGTGGCAATAAATTGTGGGGGGGGGGGGGGGGGGGGGGTTTCAGGCCTGTCTGAACCAGAGCCAGGTGGGCAAGCTTTTGAACCAGGTTAGCAATTTGAGCTAACTTGCAATGTCTTGTCTTGTTGCACGTGCTAAAAATGTTGCTATTTTATCAACGTCGTTTTTGAAAAATATGGAATTTAATCTTAACAAATGCTTTCCATATTTACGAAAGATGTGTATAAGTGATTAGCAATCTATAACTTTGAGGGCACTAAACCACAAAAGTACTGAAATCTACATTATGTTGCTTTAATGTAGTTAGAAAAACTAGAAACAGCGTGTACATCAATCACATTTCAGAAAGGATTATCTGAGTGGATGTAGCTGACAGGCTTCACAGCAGCTGCTGGATGTGAGCAGGAACTATGGCAACATGAATGAGCATGTGGCTCCATATCCAGGTCACACACACACACACACACACACACACACACACACACACACACACACACACACACACACACACACACACACACACACACACACACACACACACACACACACACACACACACACACACACACACACACACACACACACACACACACACACCACACACACACACACACACACACACACACACACACACACACACACACACACAACACACACACACACACACACACACACACACACACACACACACCACACACACACACACACACACACACACACACACACACACACACACACACACACACACACACACACACACACACACACACACACACACACACACACACCACACACAGAGAGGAAGCTGCCTGCAAACACTCAACAGGCCATGTGAGCAGTCGGCCCGTTGTCATGGCAGTGCAGGAGCAGTGAGTCATGACAGAAAGCAGCGTAGGAAAAGTAAAGTGGAGGGTACGGGGCTCAGAGCGAGAAAGAGGGATGAAGAAGGAAAAACATAAGGAGTGAAGGAGGAGAGGAGGAAGGGAAAGATGAGGTGAAGGAGGGCGGCCGTGGCTACTCAAGCCTGACCATCTGATTGGCCGGGCAAACCGGGCAGAACTGACCTCAGGGTGAGGCTTTTGGGATGGACAGAAAATGGAAAAGATGCAGGAGAAGCTTCTATTCCCCCATGTCTTAACTATATCCAACAAACAGCCACAGTAACACAGAGAACCTATTCTTGGACCATGTAGCGTACAACATGCTGTGTTTCATTTTAAATGTTGTGACTGTGAGAGTAATATTAGCACATTTCCTGATCTACAATTATCCTAACCACAGGCACTATTCATTTGCTTTTACACGCGTCGAGAGAGTGTTTCAACACTTTGAGTCCGCTTCCTAATATGAGACCCACGCAGTCAACAAACCAGTGTGTAAGAGGAAGTCAGGGACAACATGAACAGAGACCTGTCTGTGTGGTTAAAATAAACACAGGGGCGGGGGCGCACAACATAAAACTATTTTAAGCTGCAAAGCAGAAGAAAAAAAAGCTTGTGTCGCTCACTGACCTGAGTTCAGTTGTGAGGGTTTTCACGAGGCTACTGGGTGGTTAACATTGTGTCATATGTCTGGGGTGAGAGCGTGCTGTATGATTTGTTTTAGAAAGTTTGAAATAGGAAAGGGGTTATGAGAGGAGCCAGAGTAACTCACATAAAGTCATTTTCATACAGCTGGCCCTGGGCAATAGCATCACCACCACTGAGTGCATAATGAGTGGAAATACCATTACACAGCGCTGCCTGAGGCTCACACACTGGAAGGCTACTGTAATTTAATGGACAAGCCTCACAGCATCCCTTCATATGGCCATTCAACACTTTATATATATATATACATAAAGGATATCAAGTACTTTATGCATTGAATCCAGTTTTTGGTCGTACCTGCACAACAGTATGTCCTCCTGTGGGGGCTTTGACGGCCCCCCTGCTTCCCTCCGTCTCATAGTGAGCTCTGTGGTGCGGTTTGGGCTGCACCTCGATGAGGAGTTCATACTGGTCCGTGCGTCTGGGCATCGGCCATTCCAGAGGAGGGAGAGAAGCCACAGGGATGCTAAAGAATAAGGATACAAAAAAGAATATAAATCATGGAAATCAATAGTGTTATGCAGCTTGGAAGATGGGAATGTTTCTTTTGACCCGGCATTCAACCTGATTTACCTGCGGATGCTGGAAACCAGCGGCTTGGACCAGATTGGGGGGATAACAAAGAAAGGCTCTGTGGTTTTTAAGTCCTGGTCGCAGGAGACCAGGTAGTTCCCTTCTGCGTGGTTCTCTGGGTACAGAGTGTAAACCTGGTTGGACGTCTTGACTATTTTAGTGGGCATGAGGCCTTGCTGACCGGGGCCAAAACCATTCATGGCCTCGGCCAGGCTGCTGTGTGTATAGTGGGCGCTTATGTTGTGATCTTCATGGCCGCTGTGGGGAGAGGGGCTGCGGGACCGGTGCCCCAGGACCAGGCCCGGGTTCCTGTACATGTCGTAGGTGCGTTTGCCCTGCGGGGAGGTGGAGCGGGAGCTGGGTCTGGAGGAGGGCGAGCGGGCCCTCAGGCAGCCGTCCTCCGCTAGGCTGGTGCGGGGCGAGGTTCCCGGGGAGGTACGGGGTGAGCCAGTGTGGATGTTCTGTAATCTGGGGCACAGGTCTCCGGGGTTCTGGCCGCTGCTGGGGGACACACAGGGGGACGTCCAGGGGGAGTAGCTCTCAGAGTGCCAGCTGGTGGAGGAGTTGCTGCTAGCGGGACTCAGGCACTGAGGCTCTCGGTAGGTGAGGCTGTCATGGCCCGGCACGGTGAGGGTGGGTCGGGGGCTGATGTTCAGGTTCTGGTTCTGCAGGGAATCCCGGACATAGTTGTAGTGCTCGCGGGACGGGGTGATCTCGATGCGGGGGCTCAGGGCCAGGCCTGCAGGCCGGGTGCTGTCCAGGTAGTGTCGGGCCTCCTGGTTCTCATATCCCGAGAGAACCTCTGTGATGTTGTGGTCGATGTAGGAGGGGCTGCAGGACTTGAGTCCGTACGGCGAGGCCTCCTGCAGGGGGTACGCCTGCTCAGACTCAGGATTGAAGATTTTGTGAGGTGTGAGGTTGGGGTCATCTGCAGGGGAGGTAAGAGGGGAAATCGTTACAAACCACATGTTTGCAAATTGTCAGTGTTGCAGATATATTTCCCATTTTCCAATACAGCAATGTTTCTCAATGATTTCAACACAAGTGAACCTTTTTGAACCACACAGACAACTTCACCTGTTGACAAAGATCTTGTTATTTTAACTTTTGAAAGAAAAACACACACATTGTTTAGCTGAAACAAACTCTTCATGTTGACATTTTCTGCGAACCATCCATCACCCAGTAGACTGTCAAATGTACTTCCTGTTTTTATTTGTAGCCACATGAATAAGCCTCAGGCCACACATTAATTATGAGTCTCGAATAACCAAGACAGATTAAGGAGTGATTGCCAACAAAAAGCCCCGGACAAACCTTGATCTCCCGGAGCAAAGTCACTGCAAGGTGGTTCATATTCAAACAAGTACTCAAACTCCAAATCCTCATCAGGACAGTTCACTCGACTGAGATCTTCCTCCAAGTCTTTCTCGTCGTAAAAAGAGGTCATCTGTCTCAGTGTTTTTCTCACGACTCCTCAGAGTTCAGGCGAAGCGACAAAGTTGGAGGTGTAGCGCTGAGGTGGGTTTGGGGAACCTGTTCAAGTGTCAAATGATGCATCGGTGAGCCTGCAGGAGGTGAGGCGTTCAGGTTTCCTGTTTCTGCCGCGTTATTTTCAGATGAAGGCGGATCTTTTTCACACTCAGTGCAGAGTTGTCGAGTTCATCTGTGTGTCTGATCACGCCTCTGCTTTGATGCGTCGAGGAAGAGAAACACACAGCTTGGTGGAGATGAATTGCCAGCACCGTTCAAAGTTATCCCTGTGAGGTTTGACAGGCTGTGCTGCCCCCGGGTGTCTGACACGTGACAGTGACACAGCAGGGATCACATGACCTACAACCACCC